TGTCTCAGGTAAGAACTTATAAGGACTGAGAAAAGAAATCATATTTTCTTTCCTTCAATTTGACAACCACAAAGGGACACTTTGCTCCACTAGGGCCAATTGATGAAGCTCTGACAGACCTGGCAGAAACCAGAGGAAAAGGGTAAGGTTTCTTACCAATGTTAGCTCTTCACATCTCTATTGTAGTGCTCAGCTAAGAGCAGAGGGTGAGAGATTCTTCTTTCTTCTTTCATTTCCAAATTCAATTAAAAGAGAAAATTATTTGTATAAATTGGCTCTTGGATATGGTGACTCTGGTGTTTTTATTTTGGCCTATTGGTTTAAATCACTTTGAAATAAATTAGACTAGCTATATTTAAAATGAAATATTTTTAGAGAAGTTCATTTTTCAAACGCTTGACAAAAAGCACTTCAGCCTAATTCTCTAAACCTTTCTCAGCCCGTAGAAGATGTTAATATTACTATGTGTTTGAAATGTTATTCAGGAAATTAAGCAGCATTCAAGCAGAGATTGGATATGACACAGAGTTAAAGTTCTTTAGACTCACCACAAATTTGACTTCCTTAGTGAATACCTTAGCTCAGGAGAGAAACATTCCTACAAATTAGTTTAAATGGGTTGTTGTTTTTAATTATTTATATGACTCTCGACTTTCTGTGATACCCATTGGTAATCCTTTGTACCCCCATGTACAGCTTTTAATTTGCCATCTTATAGACTATCTTTTTTATTCTTCTATCTATGGACAAATGGGGTTGTAAGGCCTTTATAAATGTTGTCACATGAGAACCTGAGACCCTAGATAGAGATGCTAGTAAAATTTTCCTTTCTTTAAGCTCCCACATGACGAGGCTGCAAATTTTTCAAACTTTTATGCTCTGCTTCTACTTTAAATATAAGTTCCAGTTTCATGTTAATTATTTGCTCACACATAGGAGCATAAGCTGTTAGAAGCAACCAGGTCACTTATTAAACACTTTACTGCTTAGAAATTTCTTCTGCCAAATACCCTAAATCATTGTTCTCAAGTTCAAAGTTCCACAGATTTTTTAGAGTAGAGGCTCTTTGCTAATGTATAACAAAAGTGACTATTACTCCAGTTCCCAGTGAGTTCTCCATTTCTGTCTGAGACCTGCTTAGTCTGGCCTTCATTGTCTATATCACTCCCAGCATTTTGGTCATAATCATTCAGCAAGTCCTTTGGAAGTTCCAAATTTTCCCTTATCTTCCTGTCTTCTTCTGAGCCCTCCACAGTCTTTCAATCTCTGCTTGTTATCCAGTTCCAAAGTCACTTCCACATTTTCAGGTATCTTTATAACAATACTTCACTACTGGTACCAATTTTCTATATTACTCCATTCTTGCACTTTATAAAGAAATATCTGAGACTGGGTAATTTATAAAGAAAAGAGGTTTAATTAGCTCATAGTTCTGCCAGCTGTACAGGAAGCAGGACAGCATCTGCTTGGCTTCTGGAAAGCTTTGGAAAACATATAATCATGGTGAATGGGGAAGCAGGCATATCGTATATAGCAGGAGCAGGAGGAAGGCAGGCAGGTGCGACACACTTTTAAACAACCAGATCTTGCAAGCACTCACTCACCATCATGAGAGCAGTACTGAGAGGATGCTGCTAAACAATTTGTGAGGGACCAACCCCAAGATCCAGCCACTTTCTACCACGCCTCACCTCTGGCATTGGGGATTACATTTCAACATGAGATTTGGGTGGGAACTCAGATCCAAACCATACCATTTGGATATGTTATTGTGTTCTAAAATTGTATGAGATTCCCAAAAATCTGACACATTTTGGTATATGTTGTCAGTTACAATTATGGGTATTATGTTAAATTATTGTAGGCCACAGAAAGTAACCAAATTTCCATGTCAATTGTGTCTTTAACCATGCCCGTTTTAATTCTTGTTATCTGTTATTAATTGCTTTATTATGATACTTTTTTCTAAAAGCTCTTTGTAAATCCTAAAGAGTTGTGTCTTCAAGGTTAATGGAACGGATTGCAAGAAATACTCTTGAACAGAAGTCCCTGACAACTTAGAGACCATATTATTGGAGTCATTTTCAATTCTCAGGAGGCTAATGAAAAAAAAATTGGACTCATAAAATTGCTAACCACAAATTAAGCAAAACAAGAATTAATTACCCAAAACTAAAACAAGGAAGGATTAAAACAATTTTTCACAACACTTTTTGTTTAAAACACTGATGATTTCTTTATGTTTTCTTTCCATAGTTAAGAAGACTTTTTTCCTCTTAAGTAATCTGCAGCTTTGCAATAATTTTGTAAAGTACACTTTTGTGCACAAAAATTAAAACATTTATCTTTTCCTCTATCCGATCCCTCCAGGATTTAGAAACTCTGTTGAGAAGCTTTATTTTTATGACATGATAGTTATTTGTGAAAGTTCAATAGGAATCTGCTCTCTTTGGAGTGGAACAATTGGAAATAAGATTGTATTGCCAAGGCCATGACTGGGACGCCATTTTTACAGATATGAACAGACCGCCTTAAGGAACAAATGCTATAACTTTAAGGAGTCAATAAACCCTTGACAGAACTGGCTTGGCCCTTTGTTCTTGAACTATACAATTCCCTTCTAGCATTTCTAGCCTTGCGGTAAGTAAATAATGTCATTTCCTGACAGGCCCAGGAACCTCAAAATATTTTGGGGACCTCAAGAAAAAAAACTAACCCAGATAATATCAGATAATATCTGTTGGTGAGTGTGTGACATGGCTTCCTAGCCTGGAGAGGGTTTTAGTAGTTTATTCTGAAATTCTTTATGAAAAGTTCCAGCAAAGCCACCTTAAAAAGAGCTTATGTGTTAAATCACTGTTCTTGCTGTACTTATGTAAATGATCAGGCCACTAAACTTGTTTTGTAAGTAAATTGGACTTACTGTGATTACCTTTCGTAAACTGGAAGGTGACTGCAAAGAGAATATGTTTCAGAGCAGCTATAGTAGAGCCATTATTAGATTCTAACCCTGTCCATGGTTTTAGAGTTTTAAAAAATTATCTGAACTGAATCCTGAATTGTTACTTCTCTCTAATATCTGCTATGGCTCTTCAGACTAACATTCCCCACTTTCTCCCACCTTTCTGATTTAAAATCACTGGAAATTAAGACTGTGCCTTTCCCAAAGCCCTGTAAACTGGACAACTTAATATAAACTTTGGAGAAATCATCACAATTTAGTTATGGACAAAAACTTCACTGGGACATCTGATGCACATTATAATCCAGAAAAATCTGTCAGATTGCCACTGCCTGTCCACTCCAACTGAAACTTATTTGAACCCAAATCTAGAAATCTCAGCTGGCTGCTCTCCAGAAGCTAGTTTATAGACTCCTTGAAACATAGACCTTTGTTTTCTGTTTCCATAGAAATGTCTCTGATTGAGTACCTGTTTGGCTACATCCATGGGAGACCTAACTCTGATGGAAACCCACTTACACCACCTCTGAAATGAGATGCAACGATTTCACTGAAGGGACCTAATTTCAGGACTAAAGGACTGATAAGATATGGAACAATGTACCCAAACTGGTTCCTTTCTACTTGTTCCAATCTAGGTTTTTCTCCTCCTTTGCCAAATCTTTTATCTTAAAACCTCTAACTCAAACCTCTAACTTAAATCCAAAACTACCAACTTAGCTTTTAACATGTGAAACTTTCTGAAAGTAAAGTTTCAAGCGAGGACTGAAGGAAACCAACCTATTTTTCCCCAAAATATTGAGAATTGTTAAGTTAGAAACACACTGAACACGCAGGGAAGCACTCTGCTTAAGCCTGTTTTCCTGATGTTGGAAGATAAATCCTTCCTTCCTTCCAGAGAAGGCTGCAGTAGATCTGGGAACAGATTTTACCACCTTCTCTCATTTTGTTGCCTTTTAAAACACTGGGACTGTGGTCTCCTTTGTCTTTGTCACTGTGCTAAGATTTGTTGATCTTTGTTAAAACACCATTTAGGCAGGACCCTTAAGCCACTGACTTGAGAGAGATACTTTTGAACTGAGATCTCTTCCACATGGTAAGTACAGCACACATTATCTGCTGATTTTTCTGTTAAGCTGGCTTTTGTTTTCAGGAAAGTGTCTCAACTGAACTTAAGAAGGTTGAGAAAAAAATTATATTTTCTCTCCTTTAGTTACCATTTGGCAAAATCAAAATTATGCGAATCTATTGTTCGGGGGTATTCTAAATCCAGCCTAGACTTCTGTGACAGCTCCATGTACCTTCAGCTGCAAGGATTTTAGCACCAGCAGCTGCAGCCTCATCCTCTGAGTTTTCTGGCTGGACTGGAAGTTAGTGGGTCCATAGGAGCTGAGCCCTGTAAGCAATAGAAGTGATGATACTGAGAAAGGAGACTCCCTGGCCTGGCTGCTCAGAGAGAGGAAGAGTTTGGAGCTGAGGTTAACAGCAAACATACAGATCCCCAGGGCTTCCATCTAAACTCTGTTCTCTTTATCCACAGTTTTCCATTCGGTTTTCACATTCAGAATGCTGGTTAACCTATATCCCTTCTTTTTAGCAATGTCAAAGATCAGATGAGCTTTGAATATAAACAAAAGAAAACATTAAAAACAACTTCCTTGAAAGCCCTAAACTTATTAAAGCATAGTTAAAGGAAAAGGAAGGAGGTACCAAAGGGAGAGCAAGATGATTACTCTTCACAGATCCTCCCATGTGGGAAGAACTGCCTGGCACTTGATCAGCATTTGTCTGTATTGTTTAAAAAGCTGAACACTTTGAGATCTGATCAGGGACACATATAGCAGCCTCATTGACCATGGCGTGTGTGTACCTATGCAACAATCCTGCAGGATGCAGGACGTGCGCATGTACCCCAGAGCCAAAATACAATTTAAAAAAAAAAGAACGTAATGGCAGGAGAAAGTGCTTTGAAAGCTATCAGGATGTGTGTTTAGTAACACACACACACACACACACACACAGACACACACTCCAAAACAAGTTTTTAGAAGTTTTTATTTACCTAAAAACATAAATTTATCAAACATATCAATTTGCTTTGCAGAACAATTTACATAAAAATTCACGACATATACCAAAGGCAGCACAGCATGCTCCATCTAGTGTGTGAAGCATCCTTTCCTACAAATCTCAACAACACACAGATTCAGTATAGAAATTCAAACTTTCAGTCGGGGGGCCTCTTGGGTCCTACATGATGGTAATTGTCTCAGCAGAAAGTCAGGGGCACGGGATGCTGAGGAGGGGGAAGCAGACCCCATTGCCTGTTAAGTCCCATCTAGCTCAGAGTTTTAAGCAACACGGGAATTCCACTGGAGGAGGGTTGGCCTGCTGGCCTGGCCCTTCTCTCTCATGCCCTCTACTTCAGCTACACTTCTTATGCATATTCTTCAAAGCTGTGAAAATAAATACCAGAAAAACTGACCTTTACGGCATTCATGTAACAGGCTATCAGGATCTCAGGGAGATCCACCTACATCGAGGATCAGTCTCAAAACTGGCGCGTGTAAAAAGTAACCTGCAAAATGGTGTGTAAGGTCAGACAGCCTTCATGCACCATTCAGAGAGGCCGCCAGCCACAGATGCTTTGGGGAGATAGGTAATACAAATACAGACGTTGAGCAATCCCACCACTTTCAGAAAACACTTTCACCTGTGGGGAAGTGGGGGCATGTGACTGGACAACAATGAGAGGAAGTTTACACTGTATCTGAATTGTTACTAACAAAGTCACTGACATGTGCACACACAAAGTGGCCTTCCTGGTGGAGCATCAACAAAGGTGAGAGGTGTGAGCACCCAAGACTCTCAGAATTATTCCACCCCTGGGGCTAGCTGCATGTATGTCTTAGCCTGAAGACCATCTTTTTCAAACAAACACATACCTGCCCTTGGTAAGGGCTGCTCATTCTACTGTAGGGTTTTTACATTTTTTTCTCACCATGGACCAGTCTCTTTTTAGTTCATACCCAATAGATTAGCTGGGTTTTCTGAAGGGTGACTAACTGTCCTGTTTCACCGGGGATTGAGGGGCTTCCAAGGTTTCAGTCGTAAATGAGTCAGTCACTTGGTTCTCTATAGTGTTCCAGGAGATATTAATTACTGCTTGAGGTTTTCCTAATTATACAAAATCTCAAGAACAAGACAGAAACCAAGAAATACACCTGGGAGACACATACATTTTTTCCATGTGCCCCAATACTCTTTAACATAAGCAGTTCCCAGACTCTTCAAAAGCATTGTCCACTGAGTCCAAACTAAATTCTAGTTTGCCAATTCCACTTTATCAAGACAAGGAATGAGGAAGCCATTCCTCTGCAGAGTGCTGGGACAAGTGCTAGGATTTCCAACCCTGAGCATTTCATATCTAGTTCATTCCATAGGTCATATGCTGGATCACTCAAAAAAAAAAAAAGTAACAGTCACATAGATATAAAGAAAAGAGGTAGTAGCCCCAGCCAACAAGCATTTTCCAGAAAATTCAGCTCTGCTGTTAAAGCAGCATAATATAAAAAAGAATAAGAAGACGTCACAAAGCAATTGAAATGGAGCATCCGCTGGAGAATTAAGAGGACAGGATAGGTGTTCCTGGGACAGACTTCCAAGAGAGCTCCTTTCAAGTGCCCTGTGAGGTTAAATACTCTTCAGCAAAGAGAGTCACAGGCAAGGGCCCCGTGAAACAGCAGTTCCTAATATCATCTTTACCTTCCCTTAGGATAATATACCCCAAAACACTTTGCATCTATAAGATGTATACATCACTGCAGTTCACAAAACAGTCTGCTGCCCAATATAAGTGTTGTGTGGCTCATGAAATGTCAAAATCTACTGAGTAGGTGTTAGCAGAGCTCCATAGCAAGGCCTCTGAGCAGAACGAGGTAAATCTTCACTGTCAGCTACAAAGAGCACTGCATGAAAGTGTGTGCGAGATGACACCATGAGGTTTTCTTTTTAAATTTATGTATATTTACAGAAAAGCGAAATGTGTTAGAAGAATAAACAACACTTTTTTGTGGACACTTTTAGAGAGGAGAATTTGGGCTGGGAAAAAAGGAGAATGCTTTTTATTTTTGTTTATTTCTCTACTGTTTGTATTTTCTGTAGTTGATATATTATGACTTTAATATTAGAAACCCGTTTTAAACATTAAAAAATGATGTGTCAGTGTTTCATGCTCATTAAGCCTGATAAAGGCTGAAACCTGTGTAATGTAGGGATACAACAGGCTTGTTGAATGAATCTAAATTATTGATTAGATGAGCAGGAGCATACACTTGAGAGCTCTGCAATCTTCTGCTGATGCTGGGAGTAATAGTAAATACCCTGCAGTATGAGAAGCACCCTGGAGGCGACACCCCAGTCTACACTGCTGTCCTTTCTCAAAACCACAAAAATGTAAGTGATCAGGTTTACTTAAGCAAGAGGAGGTCTTTGCTTTCCAAATAGATGCATTTGGAAAAAGGCCAGTAATTTTAAGGCTCTGTCAAACTATAATTGGCAGGAGGAAGCATAGAAGAGATGAAATAAGCAGAACTAGCCCACTGAATGTGCAGTTCCACAGTCAGCTCCATCCTGCTTCACGTGGCGGGTCCTGACTCTCCAGCCTGGGAGTCCCCGGCTCCTCCTCCTCCTTTAGTGTCGCCATGGCTGACACTGGACAGCCAAACAAACAGAGGGGAGTAGCTCAGAGGAGGGAAACAAATAACTTAGTTTGTGGACAGAAGGGTTTAGTAGAAGAACAAAGGGCTTAGTACGTGGACAGTCCAAGTATTAAGATATATGTTTCCTAATTTCTTCTTTAGGAGAAGAATTTTTGCATTTCTAAAGAATGAGAGACAGAAAAAAACAAACAAGAAAACTTAGCCATCACCTGATTTTAAGACAAAAATGCCTCGTTTCAGAGTGCCCCTATGTTTTTTGGCTCAAGGAAATAGGAAGTTTACTTGCTGGCTCCCAGGGAAGGCCAAGGAGAGAAAGCCAATGGGAGACAGCAGGGCAGAGTGGCCCATACCAGGAAACCACTGGCAGGTGGGGAATGGGCCTCCTCACAGCTACAGGCACAGCTTCCATCAAAGATTGTGTTTCCTCCCCTCAGTAAGAGACTTCCACAAGAACTACAGCTCCTACACACATGAATATATTTCTTTTGTGGGTGAGTCTTCTTCAATTTAAACCTTACTTCCCTGAGAAATGGTACAGATATACCTACGAGCAGTCATCACACTAGTCAGTGGTCGATACTGAAAAGCAATTTTGCTCAATCTTCCAGCAAGACCTAATCTACAACAAGTTGAGATTTAAGAGGACGTTTAAGTAAATGTAAACACCACTTGGTCAATTTTCGCAGTGATCATCAATGATGGCAGTCTATGGAAAACAAGAAATGCAAAACCACCTTTGCATTTGGAATAAGCTCATCTGCCAATCAGATGTCATTGATTTTTCATACATGTCTCTTGGCAATTCTCCTCAACTGCTGAACTGAAATTTCCACTTCTGAGTTCCTTAAAACAGCAAGAGGGAAGTCAATTACATGCTTTCACCAAAGTCAAATATTTACAGTGAAAATCATTTGCCTTGGGCTGGTGCAGTGGCGGTGGCTCACACCTGTAATCCCAGCTACCAGGGAGGCTGAGGCAGGAGACTCTCTTGAACCTGGGAGGCGGAGGTTGCAGTGAGCCAAGATCATGCCACTGCATTCCAGCCTGGGCAATAGAGCAAGACCTTATTAAAAAAAAAGTAAAAAAATTAAAAAGAAAAAGAAAGAAAGAAAGAAAGAAAAGAAGAAGAAGAAAAGAAAAAAAAAAGAAAACCATTCATCTTGATGTTTTTCATTCTTGAATGGAGGAATGGCGGATAGATCTGTGGTAATCCTCTGGACTGCTGATGTGTTCCGGTAAATCGTAGCCCCTCAGGAAATGTCCACTGTTTTGTTGAGCAAAATAATACAGTTGTCTGGCTAGCAGAGGTTCTACCTTTAATAAGAGATTTTAAAAGGATGTTACTGAGATTTCCTGCAACTGGCTCACTATTAAATAGCACTCAGATTCTAAGGAGACAGTAACAGGAAGCCCAAAGTTACCTGCTAGAACACGTCAAAACATGTCATATCTGGAGCCATCTAAAGAAGGAATTTTTTGTTAGTCCTTCCATAGATCATCCTGTAAGGAAGCAGCCAAAGCTGCTTAATTCTGGCTTAAAGCTGCTACTTTCAAATAAACTGCCACTTAAAATGTACATTTAACTAAAATTGAATCAAATCATGTAAAGTGATCAAATTAAAAGAAAGTCTGAGGTCATCTGCTGGGTCATCTAGGCCAGTGATTTTGTTTTTCCACAACTGCAGTTTGAAAGAAACAAGGAACTCATCCTGAATGATTTGCTTTCTGTGTAATATGTACAATTCTAAACCAGAGATAAAAGAAAAAGAAAGTAAAGTTCAACAACAACACTACTACTATTGTGGGAAAAAAGAAGTTAATTGGGCTCGAAGTTATCCTGTCTGGTTATTAGCATGTATCACACTCACCAAATAAAACAAAACGAAACAAAACAAAACACCTTAATGTTCAGCTTTTCCTGAATTGACAGCATCTAAGGCAGACTGAATGCTCTCCGTCAATCATGCTATTAGAGTTTGTATTTTATATATAACGACCTAAGCAAAACTCCTATGTAAGTACCTGAAATGAATTAATAATTTTTAAAAGTGGAACTCATAGGTGTACACATGTGTTCATTCATTTTATGGACCACACAGCCTTGTCTTTAGGATGAGGGATTGTCTTGGGATCCATCTTTGCCTCCTTAGATGACCGAACTTGCATCCAAGTCACCCTTAAAATTGGATTGATGTGATAGCTGATCATCAGCTTCTTAAATGCTGCTTTTCAATGCCAAGTTTATTCGGTCATTTGGCAATCCCTATTGTTAACAACATATCAGTTATTATTTCAACAATCATATCAAGTATTATGGCAATCACTGGAGAGAACTCACGAGAAAACTCCTGAGTATGGGATTATATATTGGTTGGTCGGTCTTTGTTTTTAAGATCAAGAAAGGGGGTTGTATGTTCAAGATTAAATCATATTTCATTTCCGTTCTCAATGAGAAATAGCATCAGACCTAGAATCTGATGGGAATTTTGATGTGATGGGGTATAAGTTTATCTGGTATTGCTCACTATCCAAGCCTATTAATAACACTGGCAAGTTTGTAGCAATGTGAAGTTTTCAAATTCAAAACTCTGAAGGGTTGAAGATTCTGTTTTGTATGGCAAATTAATGCTTCATCTTATCTATAGAAACATTTTCTCATAAAAAAGAAAACTCTAACCCAAATCCTAACCCTATTCCTAACCCTAACCCTTTAGGGTGACTTGCCACAGTTGAACTCATCTTGAACTATGCTAGAGAACATTATGAGACTCTGAGCTACTTGAATTCCTTGAAAGATTTAGCATCTTTGAAATATCATATACACAATAATTAAACAATTTCTAAAATTCCAGAAATAAAAGAAGTGCTAGGACACATCTGCAGAGACCTAAAAAAGGCCTCCTAGGAATGGACAGCTTCCTGTTTAGGAAAAGCTTTTCCACTGACTGAAGATCCACTAGCTAGGTAGCATTCTTCAAGCAATCTTAACATGGAGAATTTCAAAGGGCAGCTTTTGCCATCACTCTTTTTCAATCCCTATGAAATGGAAATATGACAACTTTCCTGAAAAATAAAAAAGATGGGGAAAGTGGCACCCTCCACTGGGGCTGTCCTCCCTGGTTCTTTGCTGAGTAGATCTCAAGTCTTGGAGGAGCACATGGGTCCCCATACTGCTGCTCGCTGGACCACGCTTCCTTCCTCACTACTTTAAGGGTTGCGCTTATTCTTCCAGGTCATTTGACATTTACTTTTCACTTGGGACTTTTCTAAATGAGACTCTGCTCTTTATAAAGATCAAGAAGCCTCTATGCATAGTACGAGTGTAACTGAGGACTCACGTGAGCTGTGATGAGCTTTCTTTGCCTCTGAGGGTCTGGAAACTCCTCTCCAAAGCACAGAGTCACCTGGAATCTTGGCAGGGAGCGGCCGTGGTGAGCAAATGCCTGCAGCTCTGCAGAAGCCCACAAGAAAAACACCATGTTCAGAAACCCTTATCACCAAACACACCGGGTTAAACAGGAAGCAAGAGCCTACTGTGATTCTGAACACTGCAAGAGAAATGACCACTCTTAATTTCTCCAAGTAGGGCTCCTGATGTGAACACCCCACATACAAAATAGCATGTATGCGTTCATATGGGTGCTTTTCCCCCAGGGCCCTCGGTCTCCCTCGATTCTTCAAGGGGAACTAGTCATCAGCTTCAGAAGACTGCTTTACAGCATTGGACCCAAGAAGATTCAAAAGGTAGCAGACCGCAGTGAAGTTGGGAGAGAAAGAACGAGAAACGTAGTCACGCAATGGCAAAAGACCAATTTATGCCATGGACATATTTTCATTTAAAAAATCAGAATGTTGTGATATCCCAGGATCATTTTTAAACCTCATCTCATCACTACAGAGCCCAGTATCTGAGCTGCGGCAGACATCCACGTAACTCAGGCATCACAGAAAATATATAACGTCAATGTGGTGACTGAGTACCAGCCATCGGCAGCTGTGTCCTACCATCGCTGTGCGTAAGCCCTGAGCTGTGTAACTCTGAGCCGACTTCTTGCCTGTCTCCAGGGACAGCATAGTAACTTGAAATGAGTAAGGAAGTGGGGCAGCCCCCGCCCCACCTCCCCCTTGTGGATATATACGTATGTATCCTGAAGCCACCGTGCCTACCCAAAAGATACGAAATGGACTGGAACATTTTTGGAAAGGCATGCGCCCAGCCTGTTACTTTAAGCCCATGCTCCCTTCCCTGTACACAAGACAAATTTTCTGCCTGTACCTACAGTAAGAGGTCATGCCCACAAAAGAAACAATTTGACACAGGAGCTGCTAAAGCTTCTGCAGAACAGATAAATCGTTATCAGATGCACACCCTCGGGCTGCACCCAGGGGGCTGTCCCTAGTGCCTGTGTAGACCCTGAATGGGGAGATATCAGAGATCTCCACTGTTCTCTTCAACTGAACACAAGTTTCTAGCTAACTCACAGAACTATTTGACTTCCTGCTTTTTTTTTTCCAGAATTCAAATCAAACCCAAAAGACTTAGTCAGAATGTGTAAAATACATTCACATTGGCCGTGATCTGAGACTACACCTACACAGGCTAATCAGAGTGGCGAGCTGGCACAATTCTCTGAAAAAGCGTGCCTCCAACCCTAGATAACATGAGAGCCTTTGATGGGAATGCTTAATTATGCAGAAGCTGGTCGGCACAGCTGCAGTTTTTACGTTCACAGCATCCTCCTTGAACCTCAGTGAACACTTTGAGGTGAGAGGTTGCAGTGGGCAAAGAGCACAGCCCTTAGTTGCAGAGGAAGGAATAAAAGCCAAGACTAGCTCTTGCTCACAGATTAATAGTAAGTTCTAGGCATGTGAGTTCGCAGCCACAGGACTCTCACAGCCGCCCTGCCTGTGCTGTCTCTCACGCAGTGCACCTGTGACTCAAAGTGCACCTTCCAGCACTTAGTCGCTTAGTCACCATGGAGGCTCTACTTCCCTAAAAATGCCTGGCAAGAGGCACTCAGAGAGGCCAGTGCCAGTTCCTTGTGACACCTTCATTAGAAAGCCCCCACCTGTGAGGCACCGAGGTCCAGAGTCTTCAGAAATCCAGACCCACTGGACTTCAGTCTTCCTGTCCCATGTGAGCTCTTCTGGATCCCAAGACAGACACAGGAGATGCTGATGGGGGTCCCCACAGTTGCCCTTCAAGTTCCTTGGTCCCCCAGGAACACTATGACCAACCCCAAGAAGGATGGAACCACCCCGGCTGGGGCTTGGGGATGCTTCTGCCACTTAGAATGAGACACCTGCCGCTGCCTCAGGGAACCAGCACAGTTCTCCCTCTTCCTATTGTCAACCTCTGTGAAGCTTGGTTTTCTTTTTTCTTTGCTTTTTTTTTGAGACAGAGTTTGGCCCTGTCCCGCAAAATGGAGCACAGTGGTGTGATCTCAGCTCACTGCAGCCTCTGCCTCCCGGGTTCAAGTGATTCTTGTGCCTCAGCCTCCTGATTTTCATTTTGTTGTGGGTTTTTTTTTGTTTGTTTTTGGTAGAGACAGGGTTTTTCCATATTGGCCAGGCTGGTCTCAAACTCCTGGCCTCAAGTGCTCTGCCCATCTTGGCCTCCCAAAGTGCCGAAATTACAGGCATGAGCCAACATACCTGGCCTGAAGCTTAGTTATCTAGGTACATATTTGCTGTCGGCACCAAAATATAATTTGGATAAGTTTACAAAAAGATAGGCCACTTACACTCAAAAGTATGAGCACATGTCAACAGTGCCACAGCACATAGATGCATCATATTTTTATTTTAAATCAGTTGAATGAAGAAGCACATTCAGGAAACGGGGAGGCATGTGAAAAATCAAAGACACAGGAGTTTGTAAAGGGGTTCAAGAAGAGGCAGGGCTAGGAAAAGACGGGGAAGAGCTGGCAGTGAGGTGGTGGGTAAACAGCTCCCTTCCACACGGGAGGCTCCCTCCACCTCAACAGCTCCACGAAGCCTCCAGGGCACCCTGCATGACTGGGCCAGGGGCGTTACAGAAGCCAGCCAGAGGTTTATGGAATTGTCATAAAATCCAAAGTAGAAAAACAAAACTCACTAGTTCTGAAAATATGCTTAGAAACGTTCATGTCACAGAGCTGACTCAAAGCACTCTCCTGGAACCTTCCCTGTGCAAAATCAGTTCAGTCCACTCCATACTCCATCCCACTTGTGGGCGGCATCTGCCTCAGGGTGACACATCTCACAACCAAGAACGTTAACAATATGCTTCTAACCTTTACAAATTATCTGGGAACCTGGAAAGAGCCATCACATCAGCAGACATGTTTGTTGAGATCATAGTGCAACATAATGGAATTATGTTAAGAGCTGTGACTGTTTGTTGAAAACCAGAATTGCAAAGGTACAGCCTGAGCCACAGTCCACCTGCACCATCTGCTCCGGACTCTGCCCACAACAGAGCCAGACAGATCTCTACTGGGGTCAAGGCCGGGGGGCACCAGGGTCCATAGGAGGAAGACTTCAGCCTAGGGTGGGAGGGACCCTGTCATTTCTGACCCCCATGGTAGGCGGGCCATCACCACCTCCATTCTAACAGATAATGAGGTGCCTTACCTGACAAAAACTGCTGCGTGTCAAAGAGCTTGCAGGTCTGGTCTCTCTCCAATTTGTTGGGCCGGTCGTTGCACAGCGCCAGGGGCCCGTCCCAGTAGATCCTGCTCTGGCACAGTCTTTTCGCATAGAGCCCGTCAGGGGCCATCCAGAGGACCACACCCCTCTCCAGGTGGCTCAGCAGCTTCTCAATGTTTTTCCTCTGGCCATTGTCCTCTGGGTAGGGGAACAGGACCTGGTCCAGGTTGCTGGGGTCGTAGGTGTGTCCGTGGGAGATCCGGCAGCCCTCGGGGCTAGACGTGGTGAGCTCTTTCACGAGGATTTCCCGGTAGTACAGGCAGATGTGCAGCCGGCAGTCTGCAAACACAGGACTCCGGGGTCAGGGCTGGGGGCCAAGGACACCGCCTCAAGGCCAGCGGCTCCACAGAGCCAAGCACCTGTGGTGGAACTCTAGTGTCCCACATGCTCCATGGAGGAGCAAAAGGTTCCAGCATCAAGGAGGCCTGGAAAACGCCGTGTGCCCTTGTGTCCCCCAGAGAGCCATAGGCAGCTCAAGTGAAGTCCCCTGGGAAGAAACCCATTTAACTTGTCTAAGCCAGCATATTTCAAATACATGTAGCCAAATACTCTTTTTTTAAGGGAGGAGTGTATCTTTCATTAATTTTTCTTGAAAAATAAGTTGAACTCAGATTAGAGAGCATCACTATGAAGAACTTACTAAGTCTTATTTGTGAATGATGATGATAGTGGTGATGACATTTAAGTCATGTGTCATGGAACGAAAATTAATCTTTACGCAAATCAGTTTTTACTTTGGAGGAAATGAACCCTAAGTTTAATTTCTGCTAGCAAAAAAATAACAGTGTTTCAGAAGGGAAGCAAGTATGTCCACACACATGAAAGTTCCCTGAAATTATAACATGATATCATTAAGGTAAAAACACAAGTGTGTGTACATATATATATAAATTACATATATAATCAGATTCTCAATTATATATGTCTATATAATTTATATATAAACACATACACATATACATATTAAAGGGTAATCACTAAGGCTTTTGATTTTGGGGTGGTAGAATGGGATGTTTTTATCTTTCATTTTTGTTTTTCTGATTTTTAAATTAGTTTTCCACATCGGCTATGTGGTGTTTTTATCACAAAATTAATTATTGTGAAAAGAAAGAAATCAATGAGAAAAAATACTCTAAAAGTTCATGTAAAGTCTGCTGAAATTGCCACTGGGCTTTGTGATTAAGTTTGAAAAGAACTCTAAAACTGTTCTCTCTGAAACTTTAAATAAGATGAATCCATTTACGAATATTTGCTGATTTCAGAAACCTCCTTGAAACATCGCCCATGAGCTGAAAGAACCAAGCTAGGTTTGCACAAGCTCCTGGGCCAGCCTGCAGGGGAGCAGCGCAGGTAGAAGGCGGCAGCCACTGGTAACCGTGTGGGACCCCAACATCAATGGGAATCACAGTTCTCTAATAAATGTGCTCATGGCTGATAATTAATCTGTGTTATGCATACCAAAAAAGGAAACCCACGAAACTCTCTTATTCCTCAATAGAAGGTTTTGAGACTTAACCTACATCATGGTCTCAATTCTCTGCTTCCACATACTGGCTGAGAACGAGTCAGACAATACACCCCAAAGAGAGTGGGCGTTGGCCATTCGAGGTGATTCTCGGGGCAGGTTTCATTTCGTTTAATGTCATCAGAAATCACGAGGTTGCAGAGATATAAATAGCTGTTTATTTCCTACTCTTCAAGCACCCACACAAGTCTTAGGTGTTCAAGAAAAGGGTTTGAAAGTTTCTAAAAACAAACACAAGCCTTCCTGCTCAGAAGCACCTCCTCCCAATCGGCATCCTCAGCTAGTCATGAGCATCTCAGAAAAAAAGGTGCAAGCGTCATTCAGAACTCAAAAGGGCTGGCAGATGAAACTCCAGCTCACCTGTGAGCAGCCAAAGTATCACAACTCTCATCTCCCTGAGACCTTCAGCATTTAGTATTTTTCATCACTGATTTTTTTTTTTTTGAGACATAGTTTCGCTGTTGTTACCCAGACTGGAGTGCAATGGCATGATTTCGGCTCACCGCAACCTCCGCCTCCTGGGTTCAGGCAATTCTCCTGCCTCAGTCTACCGAGTAGCTGGGACTACAGGTGCGCACCACCACGCCCAGCTAATTTTTGTATTTTTAGTAGAGACGGGGTTTCACCTCATTGACCAGGATGGTCTCGATCTCTTGACCTCGTGATCCACCCACCTCGGCCTCCCAGAGTGCTGGGATTATAGGCGTGAGCCACTGTGTGCAGCCTCATCACTGATTTTTAAAGAGGCCAGAGACCAAGATAAGAATTGCAAACCTTAAGCTTTTAATATAAATACAAATCCCATTTAAAAACAATCTAAAATACTATCTAAAAAGTAAATATACATATGGCACATATGCTTGGGAAGCTTAAAGGTGGCTTCCTTATAATAGGTAAGATCTCCATGGTGCAGGAATTTTTTTTAAATAAAACTTTTGTATTTATTTATTTCTTATTTTTTTTTTGAGACGGAGTTTCGCTCTTGTTACCCAGGCTGGAGTGCAATGGCGCGATCTCGGCTCACCGCAACCTCCGCCTCCTGGGTTCAGGCAATTCTCCTGCCTCAGCCTCCTGAGTAGCTGGGATTACAGGCACGCGCCACCATGCCCGGCTAATTTTTTGTATTTTTAGTAGAGACTGGGTTTCACCATGTTGACCAGGATGGTCTCGATCTCTAGACCTCGTGATCCACCCGCCTCGGCCTCCCAAAGTGCTGGGATTACAGGCTTGAGCCACTGCGCCCGGCCTAAAATAAAACTTTAAAAATCAGATTGATTCCATATGTGTTTGCAAGCTATATTAAAGTTCCGAGGAATATCAAAATATGTATTACTTTGAGGCATATCACCATTATAGAGATGAGGGACCAGAACTAATGTCCCCAGGGAGCAGGGGAGAAGGACTTGCTTGTGGCTCAACCTGGAAGAATGATCAGCTTCTCAAAATGAGATGCCCTTCTACACTTTGAAGCAATTGTTTCACATCGTGAGAATACTGGCCGAAGAGGGGCCCTTGGTAAAGGAAACCGGACTGTGTGCACATTCCTAGAAATTTGGAGAGGTGCCAGAGAAGAAGCTGAAATGACTCCATTCAAGCCAGTGGCTGAAACTGCCAGCAGACCCACAAGCTGGCTTCTCATTGGTAAGTTTTCCAATGTTGCTCCTAATTCATTCTGGTGACCCCATGCACAGGATGCGTCTACATCAACTCCACACCCCAGGGGGAGCAAAGCCAAGTGTCTAAAGTCCCATCGAATCCGCCCAAAGATGATAGAGCTGGCAGCACAGGCTGGCCTCCGGCGGTGAATCCAAAACCAAACCCTGCACTCACCTGAGAGCGCCAAGGCTTCAGCAGACCTTATGCTTGGCTCTGTGGGGATTCCAGGAGCTTGGGACTCAGGTGGGGCACAAGCATAAAAGGTTCCTGTCACCTGGCAACCTGCATTTGCAAATAAAAATCAGATGATGTCTAGACAGAGAGTCCGACGCAGTGCAGGGCTTCCTGGGGTGTGTGTGAAGCCTGGGAAGGAAGGGGCTGGTGCCCAATCACCTTCCCACTCATGCCCAGCGTGAGCGACTAGCAAGGCGCACTCTTGTGAGGCAGAGATGAGCTGGAAAACCGAAGCTGAGGGAGAAACGAGCCAGGGCGCAGCTCTGGGAGGAAACTCGGAGAGCTCTCTCTGTAACTGATCAAGAGGGAGACCGGGGCTCAGAGACAGATGATGTGATTTGTCCTTGTTCACACAGCGGGTTCACAACAGAGCTGAGAGCTCAGGTCTACATGAGTTTGTGCCAAAGAGCCCGATTAAAAATGAACAAATTGTTTAGACTATGTCTATTTTTCTTGCCTCTTGTGGGTTAGGGAGAAGACTGAACCACGGTCCAGAAGGCAACAATGTGTGAAACATGGATGGAGGAAGAACGTGGAACAGAACACCTGATTCTGCTGCCGCTTCATTTAGTGTTTCCAATGCTGCAAGACATGTCTCCACCTATTCCATCATTTGCACACTTCTAAGCATCGCCTCTTTCCCATAGAGACAGAGCACTAAACACAATTCTGAATTTCAAAAACTAGTTTTATGTGAGCCAATTCCTCCACTACCATATTGGACACCAGCCCTTGCTGCAAATCCTGTCAAGAAAGCTAACACAAGTGAATTCTGAGCTTTTTTGTGCCTTCAATACAATGCCCCTCAATACAAACATTAAACAGCAGTACCTCTTCACTACCTGCAGCCACAGATAGCCTGATCATGACTGGGAAAAAAGGCCAAATTGCGAAGGAACAAATACTCCTAAAACATCCAAAAGGTTCAACGTGTTGACCCATCTCAGGACTCCTATTTAAGTAACTAACTCAAAAGCCCTGAAAGCCTGAGTTCTGCAGTATCGAGCACAGCATTGCAAGATTCTCACTGCAGCTAGATGAGTGCTCCCTGCTGAGGGAGCTCATTTTGATGTCTGGAGAATTCCTGAGGGCAGGGGACCACATCTAATCCAGAATCAGCGAGTTTCTCTGGCACTTGTAGATATGTTTTATGTGTTTTCCATGGTATTTTTGCATTCCGTTTTTAGTATCACCTCTAATACCAAAAATAACAACAATGAACACACAACTATTCAATGAAAAATATACCAGCTCAAAAATCTCCCAGCACCCCTACTTACTATGAGCTTCCACAATCTCCTCTCTATATATAAAAGGGGCCTGTTTTCCACTGCCTGGAATGATCTCTGTGGTGTTTAAATAAGACTCCATGAAGGACAGTGCCTGGCATGAACCCTAAGCGTAAACTTGGCTCTGGGATGCCACCATCCCACAGGACTGAAAAAATCCTCCTCTCCCCTGAGCTGCACACGCAGCCTCCAAGAAGGGGAAAGAGCTTTGATGCTGCCCAGGACAAACCAGGATTCACCATGGCCCGCAGTCAGATTAGCTCTTCTGTTTCCTGCCCTGGTGTCTTCCTTACCATTTTCACAAGCTGGGCCTTGCCAGTGGTGGCCGCGGTGACCAAATGTGACGGGACATTGGTACGGGATTTCCGGGTGCGGCTGATCAGGGACATAGTCTCTCCAGCTTCGGTCAAGGGGTGGCATCACGTAGTTGTGGACCTGCTAAAGGAGCAGGAGAGCCTGAGATGAAAAACAGTCTGGCACTGAGACGGGGCTGCTCTTATGCTCTCCAAACTCCTCAGGGAATCCCTTATCAGGCTGACAGCTGAAGCATTTTTATCATCGGAAAAGACTGGAATGAATTGTTCATCACACTAGGTGGAAACACCCACAGAGGGTCAAAAAGGACAATGGAGACACTGTTGTCCTGTTTTATGTAAAGCTTCATCATATGGCTAAATCCGGCACCAAAAGTACCACAGGGGAATTTGCCTTCCTCTACCCACCAAAGTGGATGAAACAAAGCTGTCATTTACATCAAGAAAGCCTGAAGAGATCAGCTGCCTGTGGTTTCACATGATAAGGCACTACTTCCAAAATCTTCAACTTCCACAAAAGGTCTGTTTCCCAGAAGAAATGAGAAGCATATTCCAACAGGCAGACACACCCAACCCTCCCCTACTTAAAACCCACACCAATGGCAGCACCCTGTGGAAAGTGAGGCATTCATTAGGTGACCTGGGGTTTTGCTGGGCTGTTGGACTAGCCACAGCAAATGGCAAGTTCTGCTGTCTGGACTGCTGTGGTTCTCCGGCTGCGTGGGCAGCTGGTCCACAAGCCTCGCCCTCAGGGTGCCCAGTGTCCTCCACCATACCTGGGCTGGAAGCGAGGGGTAAGGCGCTGTCATGGTGTAGGGGTGACTCATGGCCATCTGTGGGTCCTCTAGGGTGAGCTGCTTGGCTCCTATGTGTTTGGGGAAAAGGGAAATGGCACAAAGTAAAAACAGGAACTGACCTAACTAAATGTCAAATCTTGTAAAAATACCTAAGCGTTTAATTCTTAGAATGCATAACATGGTGTTGACAAGGTAATTTTCAGCAGCTCCCTTGGGAAGTTATTTGTTCATGCCATTACACTGCTTTTTTCCACAAGGTCTTCATTGTATAGGACAGGTAGAGGAATATATGACAGACAGCATGTGAATGTGCCTCATGATATAAAGGACCCCACCAGCTAGATGCTTCCCAAGTGAGGTTACCTGAAGGATTTGTTTGAGATGCAGATTCCTGGGCTCTCTTCCAGACACACTGGTCAGAATCATGAAAAGAGGGGTCCAGGAATCTTACTTTTAATAAGCATCTCAGGTGACCATGTTACATTTTAAAAGTTGACAGTTTTTTATCACGAATAGTAACTCATTACTCCTCTTCTACAAAATAGTTACTCATTGAAGACTCTAAGATAAGTAAAGCTTTAACAAGTTATCCAGGTTTCTTTTTTTTCTTTTAATACTAACTGGAGAACACATATTCGATGCACACACACACCCATATATGTTGAGGTGTACAGTGTGATTAATTCTCCTATGCTAAGCATCACAGGAGTTTCAACTTGTGACCCACATAACTCAGGCAAGGAGGCTGAGCTTGACTGTGAGGCAGAAGGCAGGCAGGCAGTACAAAAGGAAAGCTAGAAAGTGATGCTCAGAATGAAGTTAAGGTACCTCAAGGATCTGGCTGCCTATGTTGTGTGACCCTAATTCAGGAAAGCCCCTACCTTTTTTGGCTCCTTCAGGAACAATCCTGTACACTTTGTACGGGTCTGAGATGTCCAGCTGGCTCCGCTCAACCAGTTCCTCAAAGTCATTGCTCTTATTGAGAGCACATCGTAAACGTGTCTTCCAGGTGGGAGGGTCTGGCTTGTCGATGCCTTCTCGGAACTTTCCTTTAAATAGTGCCCAAGCCTGGTGGTCAAGAATGAAGAGAATGAAAAGTCAAAATACGGATCTGTTTTTTTTGTTTTCTTTTCAGAGACAGAGTCCTGCTGTGTTGTCCAGGCTACAGTGCAGTGGCATGATCATAGCTCACTGCAGCCTCGATCTCCTGGATTCTAGGGATGCTCCTACCTCAGCCGTAGCTGGGGCCTGGGCCTAGAGGTGCTCACTATCACGCCTAGCTATTTTTGTTTATTTATTTATTGGTTGCAGAGACAGGGTCTCACTATGTTGCACAGGCTCGTCTGGAACTCCTGGCCTCAAGGGATCCTTCCACCTCATCTTCCCAAAGTGCTGGGATTACAGGTGTCAGCCACCATGCGCAACCAAAAATACAGATATTTTACAAAGAATCTTGAAAGTGTATTTCTAAAAGAAAGAATGGTACATAGGTCTTTCAGATTTACACTGCTGCTCAAAATGCAAATGGAAAGACCCCAGGTATCCCCTAGGAAAATTATTTTCCATCTCAGACCCTATCACTGCCAAGTTGAAGACACACATTTTCTGGGTGTTTATAAAAGGTAGAGTGAGATGCGGAGGTTCCTGGAGGGGACTCTACCCACCCTCCTCAGTGTCTGAGGTGAGCTTGCCAAAGACGAAGGACAGCTGTGGTGTGAGCTACCACCCACAGGAGACCTCTGGATGGCCACGCAGCTGAGGCACCGTAGAGCAAATTCAGACCAAATTCCCGGAGGAAGTCCCCTACCCTTGCTCTGCCCACAGGTGGGGGCTGGGCCCAGAGGCACAGTTCTCTGGGTAAACTGCCTTAGGGGAAAACAGTCGTACACACGTGTGTGCACTCACACAAATGGCAAGGGAGACAGATCTAGAGAGAGGCCGGAGTTTCAGAGCGATGCGGGAGATGTTTCCAGAGATACTTGGAAAGAGAAAGACAGAGACACACACACAGAGAAAGACACAGAAATGGGAGCATCAGAAAAGAGCTAGCAGGAGAGTGAAGAGAGGCTGACCTCAGGAAAAACATGCAGAGAGAAAAACTCAGAAAAAGAGAAACAGAGACAGCCGCACCAGCGCGGGACGCACAGAGAGAGAGAGAGACCCACTGATGAAGGAGGCAGACACGGATCCGGAGTCAGGGTGGGAGGCTTGCGTGTAAACGGGAGCCTCAGACGAACAAAGGAGAACCCTCAGGCTTCTGACCGCCCTTCCCCGGGCCGAGCCTCCAGGAGTCTCCCTGCAGTCGCCAAGCGCTCAGGACTGGGACCCGGCTCCCGGCCCGTGCACTCTAAGAGCTGAGGCCTCCTTTCCTCCCGTGGCTGTGGGCGATGCCACCTGATGCTCTCGCCGCCCGCCCGTCCGCCCCGTGCAGTGGGCTCGCCGCGGAGTCAGCGCCCGGGACCCCGGGCTCTCTGCGCCCTCCCCCCGCGCCCCCGCGGACTCCCGAGGCCGGAGACCTTGAAGAGCGCGGCGTCCTCCTCGCGGTTGTAGTCCTGCTTGCCCGCGTGCTTCCAGGGGATGCGGAAGATGCTCTTCTCCTCGTTCTCCCACACTAGCCCCGGGTACTTGCCACTGTCGATCTGGTCGATCAACCACTGGCGGAGCTTCCCGTTGCCGCAGCTCACCGCGCTCATGCCGAACTCTCCGCCTCGGCCGCCGCCCTCCAAGTTCATGCCCCGCGTGCCGTCCGCGCCCTCGACCGGGGTCCTTCGCCCGCTCTGCTGTGCTATGCACTGCGCTGCGCTGCGGGGAGGAGAGCTGCCCTTCAACCACGAGGCACAGAGTTCCGGGCACCCCGTCCCGATCCCCTGTGGCAATGACCACGAGGCCCTGGGGTCTTTGAGGCTGCGAAGCGCTCGCGTGCCCTGTCAGGGTCGCCAAGGCCCCCAGAACAAGGCACCTTCGCGGCCAGTCCAGGAGCATCCCTTGGGCGGGCACAGTCTTCCGCCTTCCAAACGCCGCCCCACGAAGGCCCCCACCCGCCTGCTCCCCTCTCCACTCAGGTAACGCACCCGCAGCCCAAGGGTTCCCGACGCGCGCCGCTGGCTTTGCACACTCTCCCCATCTCCCAGCCGCCGTCCCTCCTGGCCCTCCGTACGCACTCACTAGCAGCCTCGCTTCTCTTCGCCCACTCCCAAGTAGTTTCCCGCCCCTTCCCAGCGACTCTGTCAGTTTCCACTCCCCTGGCAGCCTCCACGCGCCGGAGACCCGGCCTGCGGCCAGGAGTTCCAGGGGCGCAACACCGGGTTCCTCCACCCTCCGCTTTGTCTGCTCGCATCCCGACCTTCGTCCCGAATAGGACCCCTATCCCTGCCCAGCTAGCGGGAATTAATTGGGCCCTGCGAACAACCCGTGGTGGACAGCGGGGGCTGTAGCCCAGTAGCAAGGGATTCCGCACACAGAGCTTCCGCCCGACCCCCAGAGCAGGCCCGGGAGGCGGAGGCGGGGAGTGCGCTGGAGAGGGCAACGCCAGCTGCCTGGACGGCAGGGACCGCGCCAGGCCGGCTAGGCCATCGCACGAAAGGCTCGGAGTGACCCAGATGCGGAGCTCCTCCTCCTCCTCCTCCGCCAGCGGGTGAGCGCCGCGCTGGAGGCCGCGGTGAGTTGGGGCCCCTTAAAAGCGAAGAGCAGGGGAAGGAGCCTGGAATTGGGGTCCACGAGGTCAGGGCTGTTCCTCGCAGGCAAGTGTGCCGTCCTGTGTGGGTGCCTAGAACTGCCCCGCCTCAGCCACTCCTGGGGCCCCAACAGTCCGTTTGGCTCATCCCGTCCAGCGTGTAGCGACCTCGGGGGCGGGCGAGTGGCGGGGCCGCGGGAGCAAGGAGTGCAAGTGGGGAGGCTCGAGCAGCGCTTCGGGAGGCGGACCTCGGAGCCCGCAGTAGCGCTCCGGGCTCAGCGTAGATGGGGTGGGAGTAGGAGCACCAGGACGGGGCGCGCTCCCTTCCCGCTCCAGAGCCCGGGTGCCTTGCGTTGCTCTGGGGATCCAACCTCTGGTTCGCGCTCCAGGTCCTCTCTGTTATCAGCCTTACACCCCTCCTCCTGCCCGACTCCAGGCCTTACCTCGCCCGGGACTCGGAGCTGAGGGCAGCGGTGGGTCCCAAGATCAAGCGGTGAAACTGAGAGTGCGAGGTGGGAAAGAGGAACTTTATAGAACTTGAAAGGCGGGGCCTGGGGGCCTGGGGCGGGGCCTGGGGCGGGGAGGGGAAGGGCGGCGAGGCCTGCAGGGGGCCGGAGGTTGGACTGGGGAGCGGGACTTTGCAAGCCGAGAACCGGAGCCGGGCGGGCGAACCCCGGGGCTAGTGCGAAGGCTGGGGTCTGCCGCGGCCGGTTTGGGGTTCCCGCGTCGTTGGCGACCCGCCGCGCATCGCGAGGGGAGAGCGCACCTCCAGCTGAGCGCGCGCCGATTTTGGGACTGTCACTGGGCGGTTTCCCGCGAAGGGCGAGGTGTGAAATGCGAATCTCGCCTTTGCGCCAGGACCTGCCAGGAGGCCAGTCAATCACCTACGACAGCTAAACTGCACCGTTGTGGCCAGGGCGGGAAATGGGAGGCGTGTAGTAGCGGGAATCTGGTGCGAAAGGGACTTCGCTATGCAGAGCTTGTAACCGAAGACGGAGGAATGGTCCAAATCGAACTGGAGGTGGCAGTTGCAGGAGCACCCGTGGCAAGTCCGTTATCTAGAACCCTGCCCCTCCGTGGTGTTTACAGAACATCGCACTCACTAAAAAGAAAATAGGAAATGGCTCAGGTCCCTTGAGCTATAAAGCGTGGTTCAAATACGGCGTCTGCGTATCTGACAAGCTTGCATCCTTTTGCATCTATTAGGCTGGTGATTCAAGTGGCTCAGACAATGCCTCGGACCTAAAGTTTCAGTTATCTTAGCATGAAAGAAATGGGGTAGGGAGAGAGGGTCCTCAAGGATCCATGTGCTTAATCACTTCCAGGCTTCAGTTCACCTTAAAATGACGTTTCAACCTCAAGGTGAAGGAAAGCAGTTTACCAGTGGGGTATAAAAGCCCAAAATAGGCCGGGCACAGTGGCTCAAGCCTGAAATCCAAGCACTTTGGGAAGCTGAAGTAGTGGATCACCTGAGGTCAGGAGTTTGCGACCAGCCTGTCCAACATGGTGAAAACCCATCTCTACTAAAAATACAAAAATTAGCCAGGTGTGGTGGCAGGTGCCTGTGGTCCCAGCTACTTGGGAGGACAAGGCATGAGAATCACTTGAAACTCTGGAGGCAGAGGTGGCAGTGAGTCAAGATCATGTCACTGCACTCACCCTTGGTGACAGAACAAGACTCTGTCTCAAAAATAAAAACCCAAAATAGGAATAATATTTAAGTGGACCTGGAATTTTACATGCTCTCCAGGATGTCTTTAATCTCAAAATTAACCTCTGAGCTTTCACCAGATCATCTGAAATGCTGAGTATGTGTATTTACTTTGCATTTTCAGGTAAACCATCAGATCACACTGGCTTCTATGTGATTTTAGACCACCACCACCCTAGGTCAACTTGCAACTTTTGAAAAGCTTTTGATTTCACTTATTTCTCAGTTTTTCTTTTACTTTATATATTGGGTCAATGTCTTCTAAACAAAGAAAAAACTATGTTTATGCTAGAGCAAAACAGAGGTATGGATAGGTATGCTTTTCCTAAAACCAACAGACATTCTAAGAAATTAACAGGATGCCACTTTTCATTTCACCCAAGTAAGTTTTCCATTACCAAAATCTATGTAATAAACAACAGTGTTTTGCTGAAAAAAAGTTATGGTCACAATCTGTTTTTCTTCCCTTTCTTTCCTTTCATAGATTTATTCATTTGACAAATATATTTTGAACACCTATGACTTGTCAGGAACTGTCCTAGGCACTTGGAACACATCAGTGAACAAAGCAAAGATCGTTGCCTTCTTGGTGCATTGTATTTTAATCAATGGTTACCTTTGCCTCAAACGTTCACCAACATACTAGACAGGCGTCTGCTAAGTACAAACATGGCAAATGAGAGCTTTCTGCACTTTCGTACACGTGTCCTTTGCACTGGGTTTAGTCATTCTCAACATATTTCAAATTTCAACTCATCCACATCCTCTACTTTTAGTTCAGAACAACAGTCATTGCGTGAAACTCTGAGCCTTCACACTGCTACCTTGTTTTTAGATGTGATTGTTAATCTTCAACGCCATCTTCTGGTTTACTAATTTGTCATATTGATTCACTAAAGGCTGTTTTTTAAATGATGAGGTGAATACAAATAATAAAATATTTTGATTGCCAAACTCTGGATGGCCTCATTGCTCATCAGGGAGGCAGTGACCAGGTAGCAACCGGCAATGCTAACCAAGGGTTTTTATATCCTAGTCATGATTGAAACAAAAAATGGCAAAGGTTCTCAAATTGAAAAAGTTTCCCCCACCAAATTGCCACCCCCTGCACACACTGAGACTTGAGAAAATCAGGGTTCCTTAGTAAAAGGCTGGATATCTATCAGTAAATGACGCAACTTGTTGAAAAGTAAAAATAAATAGGAAATCAGTTCATTGAATGTGTACCCAAAACAAAGGCTGACTGTCATATTCCATGAGGAAGTTACTTATTTCAGTGAATTATCCCTCATGCTGAGGTTCTATTGTAGCTGGCACACAATCTGAATGGAGTGTTTCCATTTTCAGTTTCACATTTATCATAAAAAGACTGTAAGAAAAGCTGAATTTACCTCAATTCAATATTTTAACAACCAGTCATTAAAATTATACTTTTGCATGCAAGTAAAATATTTTAGAGAAACCCATCCTACACACACACGCGCGCACACACACACACAGACATACGCGCACACACACACACACACACACTAGGTTCTTAAAATCTTGGATAACATTATTTTCTCACTAATTCACTCTTTAAAAGGGAGAAGGCTACAATTTGTTAAAGACAATGCAACTGTATCCATAAAAAATATATAGGGCAATCATTTTTAATTACCAAAAAAAAAATCAGGAAAATACTGAAGTATTATTTTTGTGTAGTTTATGTAGAATACATGTCTCCTCTAATCCTCTTTAATTATATGTGTTTGCATATCTAATTATTGGCCATGACACATTGAATGGCTGAAAGGTCATATCATTGGGGATTTAATAAGTGCTTGAGTTTTCAAGGCTGTGAGGCCTTGGGAGAGCCACATAACCAAAGTCCTATTTCCATGTGTACAAGGAAGGTGGGGGTGTCCCTGCCTCCCAGCAGTGTTTGCTGTGATGGGGAGATGATGCTTTGTGCAATGCCTGGTACATCATCATGTTCAACAAATTGGGGCTATTATCGTTTACTATACACTTCAACACGTAGGGACATTTCACAGACTTTCACTCATTTGGCCCTCAAACCAAACCTGCCTGGCAGGCAGGGAAGGCGGGATTCAGCCCAAGTGTAGAGAGAAGGAAAGAGACTGTGAGAGGTCCAGGTGACTGGCCCAAGGACACAGCTCTGAGGAACTGTTCTTTCTCCTTGTACACAGCCATTGGCTGCCTTTGGCATGAGTATTTCAGAACCAGCCTCTGAGTCAGGCTGTCATAGGAGGGGGCATTCTCACTCTAGCGCTGGCATCTCTGGTCAAGTCAGTGTGGGTAAGAAAGTCTTCCCTGGCCTTCTCCTTTTCCCCTATGAAGTGGAGGTTGGCAGCAAGTGATTATCGAACTCTTGTTTAACCCCAAGTAAGTGTTTTATTCTTTCTGCTGTAACTTAAAATCGTTAATGACTGCCTCATGGCCTTTTTGGTTATAGTAAATTCAGAGTAAGGAAAGCTGCATTTTTTTCTTAAAGCCATGGATCTAACCGTTGACCTTCACTTTATTCTTCTTCACAAGGCTAATTCACTTTGAGGAAATGAGAGGAGACCAGTGCTGCCTCTTAGCCACTCTTCTCAGATGTTTAATACTCTGGGGGGAAAAAATCTAACCTTCTAAGCTACTTATACTGGAGAGGAGTTGGGATGGAACACTCTTGAAATGAGATTATGTTATAAATGCTCTCACTGCACACTTAGTTTAAAATAATTGAATGTTCATTGAAAAGTGATAAATTCTTTGGTAATACAATGCACAGCATAAACCTGGATTTTTTTTTTCATGTACAGCTGTATGCATTTTCTGAATTTAATTTGCATAATGCCCTGAGTTCCTTCATTGAGAAAATTTGCAGAGCTTTGACAGTAAGCATTCCCAGGACACAGGGTATTCACAACCAGCTTGTGATCTCTTTGAGGGCACTGAATTAGCAAGTAGGGCTTTTTCCTAGATGCAGAGTAAAACCCACTTTCAGGCTTGTAAGAAATGAGATGTGATTTTATTCGATTATGTAATGAGAAGTCAAGGATACGAGGCAACGTCGTCTCCTTTCCCGGTGTTTATAAGCAGCTCTTCCCTTTGCACCTCCTCTACTTGCAGCATTCTAAGAAACATCCTGGCCACACTTCCCTTCTCTCTGAGGCTTCAAGCTCTCTACAGAAGCAGTGACGTGGTTTTACACAAGGCCACTTGACACTGCCAACTCCTTAACCAAGCCAATGAAATTGCAAATGGTTTGCAATACCTTTGGGCAATTTTCTGAAAACTGAAGCAAGAGGTGAAAGGCAAATTGCTTTGTCTAATTCCACCCATTTGTAGCAGCTCCTAGTGTTGGCTTATTCTAAAGTTCATCAATGGCTCCTTCAGCTAAACTTTGTGAAACAGTACACCGTCACTTATCACACGTAAGACTCTGGGCATGCTGGATAGAGGAGTGTATCTTTCTAGAAAGGTTAGGTCTTGCTGTGGTAAGAAGACCCTCTGAGATTGGGGCATTACTTCTAGTTCTAATGAGATATCCATGGCAAAGCGATGGGGATCCAGAACATCCCTGGCCACCCGATGGGGAGAAGGATACTGGAGAAGCATGTGCTGGCATCATTAGTTCCTACCTGGCAGTGAGTTGTGTGGCCTTGGCTCATATTCCCCTGTAATACGGTAAGAATTACAGTAAAGGAGGAATTATAGTGTGGGTACCACCTGAGAAAGAACAATGACCAGGAGGCCTGGGAGGCCTCAGGGGTGAGGCAGCGAGCTCTCAGATGGGCAGTTTTGAGG